GGAAGCCCAAATTTTGGAGTAAGGAGAGTAAGTTACCAGGATTTGGCTCTAGCGTACTTTAGAGCTTGAATTCAATAAATGATTAAATATATCTAGAAAGATTTGTAAAGGGGATAAGGAACCTATTCTGGATACAGTACCGGAATTCTGTCCCAAAACCTCCCTTTTGACACTACTAGGATTATCAATATGGTGTTCAATAGAAATTCATAAAAATTGATCTACGGTACGTGATCTGAGAATTTTTTTCGCCATGGCTAGAGTAATAGGGGGAACCGTCCAATGTTACACGAATCACACTGTAATTGACATTGCACATATCATGTTGATCGATTTTCTACGTGAGGTTTTTACGGACGGATGCAACAAGTTTAATTAATTAAAATCAATCATAATTATGTAATAAGGTGATTTCCGCAGCAATAATAAAAGATATTAAAACTTATTTTTAAATTTTTTGATTTTTATTGCAATTGTTGAAATGTAAGCTTTATATATTTTAATAATTCATCTATTTCTACTGAATTGCCTGTTATTTTATCGATATCATCTAAAGTTTTATCATCGACTACATTTTCATTCCCCTCATTCATTGACTCATTTTCAAATACTTTATTAGTCATACTTACCATTAGCGCATCAACTTTTTATTAATTTCGTATTGAAGATAATCTAAACAAATAAGACATTTAAAATAAGATTTTTGTAAGCAAGAGTTATGGTATCCATGCCCACACGCCAAAACAATGCCATTATACAAATCATAAACTCTGTCGCAGTATATCGAATCGCATAAAACTAATGCGTTGGGCTTTATGGAAGTAACAAAGCCCCTTGGAAGATGACGATCAGTCACATCGTAATCTAGTGAAGGTAGTCAGTATGTATTGATACCATCTTCCGAAGATTTGATAACGAGGTGAAGATTACGATTTCAATACACTTTTGCAAATAACTCTAAAAGCCATATAGAGCACTTTTGATAAAGCATATCTAACTGCTTCAGAGTATATGGATACTTCGTAGAATTTACAAAAATTTGACGAAAAGCATTATCATTTCTTTGCTAAAAAATAGAATGCGCTTCTTTTCGCAACTGATCGGTGGTAAAGAATTTGGAAGTACGCCTTCGAATAATGCTATGTACAATTTCAACTAGAGAATCATTAAGAGAAGCCAAATGGTTAGTAATCATTTCAAACATTGGATGACCAGTCTCTATCCAATAAAAAACATCAGAAAAAAACATTAAGGGAGCACGCTTATAATTCTTTCGATCAAATCGGAGGAAGAGATCACTCCAACAGTGCATACATGCCTCTTCATAAGCTGGCCAGTTTCCTTTGCGATGGTGTATAGCATAAACGTCGAGAACTAGAGGAATTAAATTATCTAGTAAATCAGTTAGATATAAAAATTCTATATTCTTACACATATAACCAAATTTTGAACGAACTGTATCAGCAATATTAGACCATGCCATACGCACGATATGAAGAATTAAATCAATTCTCCATGGCCGTGGTGTCTTACCAATATTTTTTTTTATACCAAAAATATTCTTGTATATATCAATAAATAAAAGTGAATTCTTTTTATATACAAGCTCATAACTATTCAAAAATACATGAAAAGGCACCATAATAGATAAGAACGATGTAACAAAAGGAGGAACAGATTCGTTGTTAAGGAGAAGTCGTTGAGCGATAGCTTTATGAATGAAAAACTGACCCGGCCAATCAGCAACTATAGGAATCGCACAATTGGAAAGATATAGCTGCATCGACTCTTGGTTGTGTACAGTACGAAGAGCTTCCAGGTATCCCTCTATACCTTTCAAGTCTTTCTCAATAAAATCGATGAAAATAGAGTTGCATATATGCCGGTCGTTTTTCTTCTCTATGAGCCTATCATTATAACTATGTAATACTAAATTATCTATTACCTCTTCATCAGTATATACTTTAGTACTTTGCATGCAAGAATACAAAACACCAAGATTTACAATAAAACGTGTATTAATATGTTTTATAATCAAACCTTTATCAATAAACCTCAGATTAATGACTCTATAAGACAGAATTGCTAGTGTTAAGGACAGATTTACCAAAATTGTCGCCATATGTGTTGGCCTAGAAGTACTAGTGGTGTCAGGTCGGTGTGGAACATGAATATTGTGATAGTCGTCTACGTTTAGCACGAGTGCATTGTTCAAATGCTGTGAAAGTGCACTCTCCGTATTTTTTTCATGCTCATTGGATATTCTTCTCTTTCTCTCATTTACTGTCTTTGATGTCGTAGCAACACCAAGATTCGCCATTGTATTCAAGCCTTCTTTACTTGTTCCCGCTGAATCTAAATAAAATGCTAGATCAAGCTAAAAGGAATTAATTCTCGTGTTATTTAAGGATATGAGAAGATAACATATTAAAACCATCAATTTCTTCATGCGGTTCATCGTTTGCTCATTACATTCACCTGGCCGAGCTGCAGAATAAAGTTGAATAAAAAAATCTTCAAGAGTTGGGTCAGTTTTTTGAAATAATTCACGCATCTCATCAAAAACATATATAGGATCTTCCTTTTTACATGCTCTCTCTCATAAAGAATTTTGGCTATAGACTTAATAGCCTTAATAAGATTAATCTTACTCAAATCGCTTACCTCCTCTAATATACTTGCCTCCTCCACCTCAGGTGTAGGTTGATCTTTAACAATTCTTGCTTTCTTGGGATCTCTGCTTAATAGGTTTTGTACTAACTTCATGTAACAAGAATTATATAAAATAATACCTTCTACTCATATTTCCTTCACCAACCTGTTATTTTTAGCTTCGTTCCACTTTTTATCTTTCAACGCATGGAATTTACAAGATTTGGTGGTTTGGCAGTTAATGCATTCCTTCATTTTATATAGATCTTTTAAGGGCAAAACTATATATAAAAGTTGTGGGATTCACTGGGATTCAGCTGATATTCTTAAACTACTGTACGAAAGCTTCAAGTTTACTTAAAACTACCCTACGTTTCAAAGTAGATTAAGTAACGTAAGCTCTTTGAAAAAATACGCTTAAACAATATAAAAAAATTTTTATGAATTGTGTAACCGATCTACAAATGATGTGACAGTTCCCCCTGTTGGCTAGGGTACTATAGGGACTATAACTACGTACAAATCACCAGTTACACAAGAGAGATATAAAAAGATAAGTTATTCGATTTTTTTTTTTTTCTGCTTCTTTTTTTTTCATTTTTTTTTTATATATATATCTTATATATCTGTATATTATATAGTATATATATTAGTACTTGTACTAACACTTCCAATTATTTTTTTTTTAGATAGTAGATTCGTCATTGTTGTCATCCAGTTTGGTTCTTTTTTCATTGGCTGGTGCTTTTCTTGCGTTGTCGGTGTCGTCCAGATGGTGCTTCTTTCACTGGTTGGTGTCTTGCGTCGTTGGTGGTGTCCTGTTTGGTGTTTTTTTCTCTGGTTGGTGCATTGTTTCTCTTTCACCGGAGGTTCGTCGTTGTGTTGTCTAATTTAATATTCCCTGGAGTCGCTCTTGTTCATCGCG